TGTACATGCTGTACCTTCAATCGCCGGAGGAATATAGAATGTTAATGCTTCTCATATCTTTGCTATTAGGTATCAAATGAACCTGGCAACCGCTACAACATCCAGCTGATTAATGCACTGGTGCTCTACGTAGGTACTCAAGCTATTGCGCACATTCACAACAAAGGCAGCACACCCTCTATGAGCACCATTACCCACTCGGCTCACATGGACATCTTCCAGAATTTGGCAGTAGATCTGGACACCGAAGGTGAGCTGGAAACACTTCTAGTTCATGCGATGTCAAATTTAACAGCAGATTGTCCATTTGAGCTATCAGAAATACAGAAGATCATTTCATGTAGCTGCTAATGAATTCACCGTTAAGTAATGCTAGGTCAGAATATTAAACTCTGAATACAGGGGCAATACTAAACCCAAATGTTCAGGGTATTTCAATGAGAAATAAGTTTAATGAAGAATTGAATTCTTACTACCCCATCAGCTTGGGTTGGTAAGGCTTTTGCATATCTTCAGTTGTTGGTTTTGTTTCTTATACCCTCATAAGGGAGGCTGACAAACTTTAATCTTAAGCAACATTAGCCGCTTCTTTATTCCATTTTTTTGTGTGTGTAAGGGAAACAGTAGGTACTCACTGTTCCTCTTCTGCAGGCCGGTACCTTTTCTTGAACGCAATTGCCAACCAGCTGCGATACCCCAACAGTCACACCCACTACTTCAGTTGCACCATGCTGTACCTGTTTGCAGAGGCCAACACTGAGGCTATCCAGGAGCAGATCACCAGGTGAGAGGGAAGGAGTTTAACCTGCCACCCTTCAGCTCTTCACTTTCCTTCCGTGTGTGTTTCGGATCTTTGAGCTCTAACAGCTTTTACTTTGGGATTTCAGGGTTCTCTTGGAACGACTGATTGTAAATAGGCCTCATCCCTGGGGTCTCCTTATTACTTTCATCGAGCTGATCAAAAATCCAGCATTTAAGTTCTGGAACCATGAGTTTGTTCACTGCGCTCCAGAAATTGAGAAGTGAGTATAACTTACCCATAGGAAAAAAAAAATAATTCACTCAAATGATATATCTGAAGATGCACCTTGACTTTTTGGTGTTTCATAGTGGAAGCACCGTTTGCTGCTGTAAACACACCTAATGCTGCTTTGCTTCTGTGTTCAGGTTGTTCCAGTCAGTTGCACAGTGCTGCATGGGGCAGAAGCAGGCCCAGCAAGTCATGGAAGGGACTGGTGCCAGTTAGACAAGCTGCATCTTGTGTTGTAAGTGTGCCAGCCTGGAGGTCCCCGTCCCATCGACTGACAGAAGACTCTGTAAGGCTCCTCCTGACCTTCCCAGCCCCTTCGATCGGGTAGACGCAACAGACCCTGGGTGAAAGTCTTATGTTGGGCACGTTCCAAAGTTTGAAACAAAATCTTTTGACTTTTGGCCAAAATATCAGAAGATGCTGTGAATATCATTTTGAACTAGTGTAAATACAAGGAACCAGAAACGTTTGTCCGGACTTTTGGGTTTGTGCAAAATTGTGTAAAAGACAGGTGGGTAACTGGTGCCTGTCCAGCTTGTAATAAAGGGGCAGCTGCTGATGCCAAGCACTTGTCTGGGGCAGACCTCCTTGTCCTGACATTCCCAGACTCCCAAAGAATATTGAAAAGCCAGTTATATTATTATGTAACTTATTTTTCTTTATGTGGATGGGGGACCTTGAAATCACTAAGTTTGTTTTTTAAAAAAAAAAAGGTGGATGTGTTTGGAATATGGGAATATTATGGAGTAGGGGAGGGGTGAAGGAGGGGTTAAGGTTCAGTCTTGCTTTTCCCCCACCCTCATCAAATGCTTACAGACAGCAAGTGGAGTGGCAGGCAGAGGATGCCTCCTTTCTGTTGGAAAAGACACACCTCAGGCCCTTTGGGAGGGTCAGCTGTTTTTAGTAAAGAAACCAGAGACCAGGCCTATAGCTTTTTCTTTCTTTTTTTGTTTTTTTGACACTTGTAAATTTTTTGAAAGGGGGAGGGGGTAAATCTAGACCTTTTCCCATCCCACCACCCTGTGACCACATAATATAAGTTTGTAAAAAAAAAAAAACCAAAAGAAAAAAAAAGACAAAAAATCCCAAAGGACCAATACAGCCCATTTTGTAATGATTTTGAATGTTTTGTAAAGTATTGGTCCACGTGTTGTATTTTGTAGCCTTTCTAGTTCTTGGGCTTTAGTTCTCCCACTTCTTGTATGTATGCATACTGTAGTTACACATTAAAGTCATGACATGCAGCACGTGCCACTGTGCTTATTCTCTCCAGTCCCATCCTGCCTGGCCAGTTGATGTCTTTCAAAGTCTGTTCCGCCCATCCAAAAACTGCAATTTCCCAGTGTGTTTTGAGCACTGCCTAGCGAAAGCAACTGGGTTTTTCTAGCAGGAGGTCAGAGGGGAGAATTGTTCTGACTATAGGGACTTGAAGTGCAAAAGGACAGAATTTTGTGGAGATAGAAATATCTTAGTGGTAAGTTCAGGAGCAGAGTTTGTCTCTGACAGTTGTACTAGAAGCCAGACTGCTTGCAGTGGAGGGATGTGGAGCACAGACAGCAGATCAGCTTCATTTCTAATGACTTGCACCCTGCTATGATATTCCCTTCAGCAAGGGTCCGAGCAAGGTTGCTAGTTAGATGTAACAAGGACAGGTGGCTTCAGTGTCACTAATACTGCAAACTCCTTTAGCCTGTGCCTTGCAACCTAGCAGATACCAAGAAAAGGAACTTCACCGCTTTCTTTTTGGGTAACATTACTAGTTGGTTAAAGCTAGTTGGCTGCTATTGTGTGGGTGGAGAGGTCACACTCCCTGCTGAGGTTTAAGGGATTTGTGTACCTGCCTGTGCTTTTGCTGCACAGAGCAAAAACTAGCTCCAAGGGACTACTGGGCCAACTGCCAGTAGACTGCAGCTCAAAGGGAATTCTCTGTGACCTGTTTCTAGGCAGTGGGTTTTTTTGGTTGCCTGCGTGTAAAGGAGTAGCCTCTTGCCAGTTCTTACAATTCCCTGACATTTTTGGCAGATCATAGGATCACAGATGGGTTTGGGTGGGCAGGGACCTCCCAGCCCACCCAGTGCCACCCCCTGCCATGGGCAGGGACACCCTCCACTAGCCCAGGTTGCCCAAAGCCCCATCCAACCTGGCCTTGAACGCTGCCAGGGAGCCAGGGGCAGCCACAGCTTCTCTGGGCACCCTGCGCCAGGGCCTCAGCACCCTCACAGGGAAGGATTTCTTCCTAATACCTAATTCAAATCTCCCTTCAGCTTCAGGCCATTCCCCTTGTCCTGTCACTCCCTGCCCTTGTCACCAGCCCCTCTCCAGCTTTCCTGGAGCCCCTGCAGGGACTGGAAGGGGCTCTAAGGTCTCCCCACAGCCTTCTCTTCTCCAGGCTGAACCCCAACTCTCTGACCTCATAGGAGAGGTGCTCAGTAGTTGTGCTGAAATTGAGCCTTTTGAAGTTGGAAATTTTTTTTGTGTTGCAACTCCAGTTTACTCTTCCTCCTGTATTGGGTTAGGATATGGAGAGTTATCAGCAACCAGGTTTTCTTTAGTCCAGATGCTGTGGGATTTTTTTTCTAGCAATCCATATGCAGAGCTTATTGACTTGTCCCAGTGACTCAAAGCTCAAAGGTCTCTCTGGTTCTGTACTAATGCTGCTGTACATAGCTGGTTCCCTTTAGGCTTTAAGAACCGTTAGGCAGGTGTGGAGAGGGTGGAAGGTGGACAGGACTTGGCCAAGACCCCAGTAACACAGCTGATAGGACAGAGGCCACTGCGCATTGTACCTTCTTAGCGGGTAAGGATCCTGCAGGTCTCAGGGCAAATGGTACTGGTGTCAGCTCCCCAAGGATTGCCAGTGTCCTTGCCAGCAAAGGCCCTGGCTATAGCGAACCTCGTGTTTAAGAAATGAAGACTAACCTTTTGATCCACTGTGTGCCTAGTCTGAAATCTAGTCTGGTGTAGGAAGAGAAGAGCCAAGATGACAGCTACTGTTACACCACTGTAAAAGGTGAATTAAAAAAACCCCCAAGCTATTCTAGGTACTGCTAGCCCACCCTGGCCCCCAGCAGTCCAGGGAGGGCTGCACCTCATCTTTATTATATATGTGATGACAGCCTGGGGTTAGTTTGTTTGCAATATTTGACTGCAGCAGCAGCAAAGATTTCCCGCCCCCCCCCTTTTAGATGGGCCTTTGCACCCTGTTGAAGTAGATAGCATTGGCCGGATAAGAAACATAGTCTTTATTAAATATGCCTTAGCCTGCGAACCTCCAGTGTTTTGTCATGCAAAGGCTGCCGAGGGAAAAATATTAATATAGCTAAACATGATGCAGAGCAATGCCTGAGTTCAGGGAAGAACTGTATTGACCAGAGGGAGTGTATCGAATGTTTAACCTACAGCAGCTGCAGAACTGTGACACTGCTCCTTAGAGAGTAGTCTCAAGCCCGTACAAAATGCCTTTCATACAGGTGAAAGGAAATATCTTGCTCTACTGAGCCTACATGAAAACTGTATGGATAGGTTTGTATATTAACAAAGTGTAGGTGAAGAGTTTAGTGTTGTTGGCATTTCCGCCTGCCAGATGTTTACTCTGAACCTCTGTAAGAGCTACCAGCTGGATTTTGACCCCCTCCATCTGGACAAGGAGCAGTTCTTGCCTTAGATTTAGCCTGATGCTACATGAGGGAACCCACTTGCTGACCTCACAGTGTGTGTCTGTCTTCCTCCAGCAGCCATTAGGACAGCTGGATTTTCTTAAGTTGTCTGGAAGGTGGTAGTTGTGCTCCAGAGCTCTCGCTGGAAGATAAGGCCACCCAAAACCACTTCTGTGCTGTGGCAAGTACCTTTGTTTATGTAGAGGTAGCTAAGAAGCTGTTTGAGGGACAAGTGAGCCTATATTTAATTTTGCTGCTGTAGAAGAGGTGGCCAAAGGCTGACCTTCCCTACAGTCCCAGGGCCAGCGAGGTTTCTAGTGTACCAGCTCTAGCAGCTGATGCAAGATCCTTTTCTGTCCATAGCGCACATGCAAAGCTTGCTGCTCCCTTTGACTCAGCTTCTCGTAAGCCTCCTTGTCATTTAACAAGTCCTGCTCCGCTTTCAAGTCTGACCTGTAGGACTCGAGGGTCAGCAGCACGCTGTCATAAAGGAGCTTCTTGCAAGGGCTTTTAAGTCTGGAGAGAGCCTCATTAGAAAGGGTGGAGTTTTCCTCTTCCTCGCTGTCATCTTCCCAGCCATCTTGCTCCTTATACTCCTTGAATTCTTCTTCTGACATGCACAGCACCTGCAATGACCCAGGCAACGAGACGTCACTGGCAGTGTGAGAACATCAGGTTCCTCCTAGAGAAGTGTGGTCTGAGCGCCATGTGGAACAGGGGAATTATTCCTCAGCTGCGCATAAAACTGGCTTAGGTCCCTCATCACAGGTAATGTGTGGGTCAGAGCATTCAAACAGCGAACCTGGGTGTTGGGAACAGCCTTGAAGGACATCTGAGCTGCTGCCTACAGAGGTGCAGAGCTCCAGCACAGCAGTGGCCCTGGAGCCACTCGAGATGGGTTTGTAAGTGCATGTGGGTGGTTAGTTGAGGAGGAAGCTGGGGAGATAGGCGACCACATCCCCACCACTTCTCCTGCAGGAGTGTTAGTACCAAAACGCCTTTACAGGCTTCCCCCCCGCCTCTTCTTTGAACCACTTTGCACGCTTAGTCTGCGCTCTTCCTTGTATTGCTCTTCCACCGCTTGGCAGTGCTTACCTTCAGGGTCACGGACAGCTCTTCCTCTGTCAGCACCTCATCCCAGCCGAGCACAAAGGCACCTTCCTCCCCCACCATCTCCAGCTGGCACAAGAAGTCCCACTGTTCTGAGACCAGCTGCTGCTCCGCTTCGCTTCTGGCACCTGTTTTGAAACCAGCCGAGTGGCAAACCCAACTCGGGTTGCAGTTGCAGGGGGAGTGGTGAATGGAGAAGGGAGCAGAAAACCACAACCAGCCCCTGAAATGGGGCAGAACAGGCTTAGTTGTCATGTCGCCCCGATCCCCGTTTCACTACATCGCTATTTAAGTGATCCCCATTTTTCCCCAAAGCGGCTACTCACGCCGCAGCGCCGCCTCGCGTACTGTCACCATCTGGATGTCGGCTGTGTCATTGGTGTTGCCAGGGTACGGCTCCGCGAAGCCATACATGTGTAGGAGCTGCCAGTTGGCCATCTGCCCGTAGGTGTTGAAGATCTCTTGGCCTTTGCTGACGGGCTGTGTTGTAACCATTCGTAAACATTGCTGCGAGCAGGGAGAGAAGAGGCTCTCAGAGCTGCGGTGATCCCACCGCTCGGAAAAGAAGTGTTTCAGAGAAGCTCGGATGACCCTAAGCTCTTCCTAGCTAAACCCGGGCACGCAGCAAGGGACTACGTTGACTAAAATAGCTTTGTTTTAAGGAGATCTGGGCCAGACTGGGTTTGGAGCACCAGCCTTGCTGTGCCACTGCTCCCACAGGCCTTGCGGTGAAGAACCAGCCCTCGGTGACACCTGGCACTGCACTCACGGGGGAGTATTCCAGGTTGGCGTTGTGGTTGGCCACGTGATTCAAAATATCTGCTACAGGCACCATCATTGGAGGATTGGGCCCCTTCTCATCTTCATCTTCCTCCTCCAAAGGTTCCTGAAAGCTAAGAGATGGGAGATGAAGCCAAGCCAGTTTTACACCTTGCAGCACAGAGCAAGCATCACCTTATCCGTAGGTTCTTGTGCAACTGCAACCTTTTCAGTAACACGGCCTATGATTTTTCCTACCTGTGATCCTACTCCTTGAGTAGCCCTTGCTCCTCACCTGTAGGCCATGACAAATGCCACCAGCTGCTTGTACAACTCCAGCGTGTGCAGCTTGGGGTCAAAGACATCAGCGTGGGACTCCATGAAAGGCAGGACGATGGAGCTGTACTCCAGGTGGATGTTAGCCAGGTCCTTGTCCACAGCTTCTGGGATGCCTGTGCCCTGCAGGAGCCTTGTTCGCTCTTCTTCAGGCCTGTTGCAACAAAACCAGCAGGTTTATCTCAGCCTGCCTCAGGGAGAAGGGTCTAGAACCTCTTTCTTCCTCTAAAGGAGGAGGCTTTGTTTCACCTTACCAGAACATGGGGTGATCCAGGCTCCGGAAGTCCTGCCAGAGGGAGAAGTAGGGCCGCCAGCGGGAGTTGCTGGCTGTGTACTCGTGCAGCAGGGCCAGCAGGAGCGGCACCCAGCCGGACTGGCTCTGCAGGGACTCCTGGGCTGGGGAAAATGGAAGCTGATCTGAGCTTTTAGGGCTGATCCCACTACCCTCCCTCAGCACCTGGCTGCAGCCTGGGCCGTCCTGCTTTTACTCGGGTTTGTCTTAGCT